ATGGACAAGTTGAGCGCTACAAGGCTCGCCTGGTGGCAAAAGGGTATAGTCAGACATATGGCATCGATTATGATGAGACTTTTGCACCGGTGGCGAAGATGAGCACTGTTCGGACCTTAATCTCTCTGGCAGTAAATGGTGGATGGAAGCTACACCAACTAGATGTGAAGAATGCATTTCTTCATGGAGATCTAGTGGAGGAGGTATACATGGAGATACCACCAGGATTTGGTACAGATCAGACAGTGGGAAAGGTCTGCAGATTGAAGAAGTCTCTCTATGGTCTGAAGCAATCTCCCCGTGCTTGGTTCGACAGATTCAGAAGGGCTATGATTGGTATGGGATACCAACAGATCAACGCCGACCATACAGTGTTCTTTCGACGGAGTGGAGGCCACATTACTATGCTTGCGGTATATGTGGATGATATGATTATTACAGGGGATGATGAGAAGGAGATTGCCCAACTCAAAGTGAGACTGGGTAAGGAATTTGAGGTGAAAGATCTTGGCTTGCTTAGATACTTTCTTGGAATAGAGATAGCTCGAGGAGCGGAAGGGATCATCCTATCCCAGAGAAAGTATGCACTGGATCTTCTCAAAGAGACAGGAATGTTAGGGTGCAAACCTGCAACTACACCGATCGACCAGAGGTTCAAGCTAGGTGCTGAGGCTGGAGAACCAGTTGATCGTGACAGATATCAGAGGTTGGTGGGAAGGCTGATCTATTTGAGTCACACACGTCCTGATATCTCCTTTGCAGTAAGCGTGGTGAGTCGCTACATGCACGATCCGAGGAAGGGTCATATGGACGCTGTGTACCAGATTCTGAGATATTTAAAGAGTGCCCCCGGAAAGGGGCTGATATTCAGAAAGAATGGACATGTGAACATCGAGGGTTATTGCGACTCTGACTGGGCTAGCTGTGCTGATGATAGGAGGTCCACCTCAGGATATTGCATCTTTATAGGAGGTAACTTAGTCTCGTGGAAGAGCAAGAAGCAGTCAGTGGTGGCGAGATCGACAGCCGAGGCAGAGTATAGAGCTATGGCCTTAGGAGTTGCTGAGTTGCTATGGTTGAAGAGTATGCTGGTGGAGCTGAAGCTGGATCAAGGAGATAAGATGAAGTTATGGTGTGACAACAAGTCAGCTATAAGTATTGCCAACAACCCAGTGCAGCATGATAGAACCAAACACATCGAGATCGATAGGTTCTTCATCAAAGAGAAGTTGGATAGTGGACTACTGGAGCTAAGTCATGTTTCGACTAAGGACCAGGCAGCAGATTGTCTGACTAAAGGACTCAACTCAGTAGATATGATTAGAGGATGTGACAAGATGGGCTTAATAGATATCTTTCGCCCATCTTGAGGAGGAGTGTTGACATATTAGTATTATTAGGGACTTATTTGTAAGATTTGTAGGGGCCTATATAAAGCCCAAGAGATATCATAATGAATTAGGGTTTTCATTTCTTCAATAACCCGAGATTTTTCTTTAACACTTTGAAACCTTAAAGGTTACTTATATTCCTAACTTTCATACTCCAAAGATTCACATATTATTGACTTTGATATTTTGAAGTTCACTTCGGTACCGTAACTCAAAGTTTAGGGTATCAAAGTGTCAAAAGCAAAATTTTAAATATCAAAGTTAAAAAGTTAAAAAATTTATCATAACAAAGTGTCTAAAAAAACTATGTATCAAAGTAAAAAAAAAGTGTAAATTTTTAGGGTATCAAAATATCCTTTAAGGAAATCTATAGCTAAAAAGAAAAAGAAAAAGAAAAATCCTCTATAGAAATTAAACATGAATGTAGATGATAAAGACATTTGAGCTAGTGTGTGAATATTGATGCACATATCACTGTCAGTTATCAATATACTTAGATGGTCAATCAGTGCAATTTGCATGGACTTCTTTCAAGTCTAGCCGTAGTGGTAACAACTATACACATGAATAGCTTGACTCTATCGAAAGTTTTTGTTTTGTGACAAAGGGAAACCTGGTCAGCCCGCTCAACTTTAACTCCTTTGGAGTCCGCCAGCTTCCATAGTTTGAACCCCCCAATCCGTACACATGCACGAGGCTCACCCTCCTTTCAATAAGGGGCCCACCCCCCATGTTACTGGGCATGCAGGGTCAACCCAGAGGGGCTCCAACCAGTGTGCGTACAACAAGTTGGGTTGGTTGACTAGAAAAACCCCCGGGTCTCCTTACCCACCCTTAAACCCAAGGAGACCAGGTAAATACGGTAGGGATGATTCGAACTCCTGACAAACAGGGCATTCCTCCTGTGAGTCCACCTCACCATGGAGCTGTTGACCAGGAGTCCCACCCGCGGGTGGTTGTATCGAAAGTTAATTAATGATTGACAATTATGTATATTTCAAAATTTATCTTTAAATGAGAAATCTTCAACCTTATCTCCCTAGTTTCTATATAATATTTTTACAGGATTGCTAAGGGTGGGCTAGGATTTGGGTCACTACCCATCTCCCGCCAACACAAAAGGAGTTGTCTGAGTTTGCATGGCGAGAAGATAGGCTGGGAATAGGTTTTTTGTCCTTTGCTTGCCCTAAACTTCTTACAGAGAATCTGAGAGTCCTGCGATCTGTGCTCCACATATTTACGTAGATAATTAATTGAACTCATTTCTCAGCATTATCAGTACACAACAAAGTCCACAATATCCACCAAATTTCTTGTTGTGTTGCCTCTTACAAAGGCAAAGCAACATCCCAAAAATGGTCATTTTCTGCCTCTCTAATAAGGCCTAGGCTCCACATGCCCAAAAGGTGCAGGGTTCACGTAGCTCCAAACTTACGAATGAGTTATAATTAGAATCTGAATAAATAAGTAAAGGCGACCATGATCAATCCAAAAGATGAGACCAGTTTGACACTTGGATGACAGGGGTTGTCCTTAGCTACATGTATAGCCTGTAACTGTTCTTTTTCTCCAAAGGAAAATACAAAATTTAAAAAAAAAAATATTCCGTTTTCTTTCAGTTCGACTTTAATTAGGAGGCTATCACCGGGGTTCAGTCGAAAACAAAATTGCATCAGGGAGCTCAACTAAAATTGTCCTTACTTCACTTCTTAAAAGCTAAAACAAGAGCCAAGAAATTTGCACCTATACTAGTATACAAGTGGCCTAGTGGCTGGGAGTTAGGACATTGGCTCAAAAGACGAGGGAGTCAATTCGTGACTATGACAATGTCTATCCCTAATTTTTAATTATTTAGCGATACAACAATTATGCTATAAATTATCTGGATCTAAACTATGAAAGAGAAGCTTCAGGCCTCAGAGTTTATTTAGTTGCCACTCAACCCAAGTTCATCTTGCGCACACAAGCACAAAACAAAATAAATAATAATAATAACAAATAAAAAAAATTCAAGAACTTAAAAAACAGGTATTTTTAGTTTGCTAGTTAGGAGAGCACCGGCAATGAACGTGCCAAATTCAATTTGGTAAAAAACAGGTATTTTTAGTTTGCTAGTTAGGAGAGCACCGGCAATGAACGTGCCAAATTCAATTTGGTGTTGATGCAAAAGGATGCTATGTTTAATATATGCATAAAATTATATTAAGAAAGACTATATTTACAAAAGTTTCGTGTGCAACTTTAACAATAGTAGTCTATATGTATTGAGGTAATAGGAAATATACTTAAAGCTAATTCAAATCAGTCATGTCCGAAAGTTTTCAAATTTTTTAGATTCCTACATTTCATAATAAACTTAGGTTAGGATAAATTGCATATAAACCCCCTCATCTATATTTCCAGTTGCACTTAACCCTCTAAGCTATTTATTAACACTTAGCACTCTTCCATCAATAATTGAGAGGGGATAAGTGCTAATAAACGAGATGATTTGATAGTATAGATGAGAGAGTTATGTGCAATTTACCCTTTAGTTTATCATATCTTTGAATTTGTATCATTTTTGTCGTTTTTAAAATCAAGCTACTTTGATTCGAGATATCAAATCAATAATCAATCTCTCTAATTGCCAACTTCGTTTTTAAAATCAAGCTACTTTGATTCGAGATATCAAATCAATAATCAATCTCTCTAATTGCCAACTTCCATAATTTCCATTGACCGTAATACATGTCAGAGGAACCTTCCTCCAACAATGAGGTCTTGACACGTGGATTAACTTGCTTGCCACGTAAATACCATGACTACCTCGGCTGATAAGATAGTGACAGATGTACGTACCACTTGATTTACTCAGTGAATCAGTATAAATACGCCCGCCTAACTCAAGTGAAGGGACCCCATGCCTTAACCTCAGCTCCGTACCGTTGACCTTGGTTGATGATCTGTATTCTCTAAAACAACCTTTTTATCTTAATAACCCGAAATTTTTCTTAACACTTTGAAACCTTAAAGGTTACATATATTCCTAACTTTCATACTCCAAAGATTCACATATTACTGACTTTGATATTTTGAAGTTCACATAACTTCGGTACCGTAACTCAAAGTTTAGGGTATCAAAGTGTCAAAAGCAAAATTTTAAATATCAAAGTTAAAAAGTTAAAAAAATTTATCATAACAAAGTGTCTAAAAAAACTATGTATCAAAGTAAAAAAAAAAGTGTAAATTTTGAGGGTATCAAAATGTCAAAAAAACCTTAGGATATTAAAGTGAAACAAGATGTAAGGTGCCGAAGTGTAACCAACGTTTTTTTAAACCAAATTGGGTTTTGGGAGTGAAAATATAACCGAGGGGTGTTTTGATCATTGAGGGCTAACGGGCAACTTCAAATATACGAGGGACTAAGTTCTCATGTTGCGGCAGAGAACGCAAAAGTCGCCGCGTGTATCCCCAGGCAAAGGACATTATCGTCCTTCTCCAATTCATCAGTAAGCAAGGGCAGTAATGTCATTTTATCCCAAGTGGGAGATGACGGTCCACGCCCCATCGAGGTGCTCTTGCACTCTTTTTATACTATAGGAATCCTAAACACATAAGCTACTGAACTCCCTACATTCTCCTTCATGCATCCACGTATAAATGCGTAATATATAATCCCAAACCTCCCATTATTCTTATTCTCGTCCAGAGGAATTTTATAATCTTTAAAATCCAGATTATAAAACAAAATCCTTTTGATAACTCTCTTCGATCCCCATCTCCCCCCTCAAAACTCCCCAAACACCCTTCTGCTGAAATTTCCAGCCATGGAGTATGAGGACCTCTGTGATCTCAAAGTCCACATCAATGGCCAGCACACTTTCTTCCTCAGTCAGGTACTCTCCATTCTCTCGTTCCACTCAATTTCTTGCATTGTTTCAAGAAAATCTCAAATGGGTGTATATATATATATTTTTTTTCCAGAAAAAGCTCTGTTCTTTCTCTGCGAGATTGAAGAAGATGGTGAAGCAAGAAAAGAAGAGGAGAAGCTCAAAGGGGAGCATGACAGAGATCAAGATCATGGATTTCCCTGGAGGCCCAAATGGGTTTGAGCTCATCTCAAGGTTCTGCCACAACAACGGAAGAATCTTAATGGGCCCTTCAAACATCAGCATCCTCCACTCCTCTGCAGTTCTTTTGGAAATGACTGAAGAGATCTCCTCCTCGAATCTCCTAGCTCAATCAGAGACCTTTCTTGACGGGCTTTTTTACTGGACTTGGGATGACATAATAATTTCTTTAAAAACCTGTGAGCCCTTTTTCTCCATTGCAGACTCCTCTGGTTTGTTACTGAGGCTCATATCTTCCCTCCTCGCGAAGATTTCAGAGAACTCGGATTCTTCTCTAACCGAAGCAACCCCTTTCCCTTATTCTCCTTCATCCTCATCATCACCTGATATATTATCAGTTTCGTCACCAAAGGTTTTAAACAAAGAATGGTGGTTTGATGACCTGTCAATTTTAGCACCAAGCATCATTGAGAAAATTCTGAGGACCCTCGGAGCCTACGGCACTGAAAACAAGAACCTAACACTTACCAAGTTCTTGCTGCATTACCTGAAAAAGGTTGGAGTTTATGGATACAAGGCTGAATGTGGTAGTTTGGCTGAGACAGCAGTTAATGGAGTTGTGCTAATGGGGAGGGCTGCATTTTCCTGTAGAGGGCTTTTCTGGGTTTTGAGAATCGTTTCAGGTTTTAGGCTGAGAAAAGAGTGCAGGTTGAAGCTTGAGAGGGTGATTGGGCTTCTGATGGATCAAGCCACATTGGATGATTTGCTAGTTTCGGGTCGGGGCGACGAAGGGGTTTACGATGTGAGCTTGGTGATGAGATTGGCTAGGGTGTTTGTAAGTGGGGTTGAAGAAGGGGGAGTGCCATTGCAGAGGTTGAAGAAAGTTGGGAGGTTGGTTGATAAGTATTTGGGGGAGATTTCTCCTGATCAGAGCTTGAAGGTTTCGAAGTTTCTTGGGGTGGCTGAGAGCTTGCCAGATTCTGCTAGAGATTGCTTTGATGGGGTTTATAGAGCTCTGGATATCTATCTTCAGGTAATTGGAAATTGTCATGAATCTGTTTTTTCTAATCATATTTTTTATTATTTGGTTTCATTCATGCGATGAGACGTGAATTCTATGCAGCAGTTCCCTGTTCAATGTGGATGAATTAGTTTTTATTTAGTTGTTTATTCCTTTCAAGACCGAAATCTCATGTCTTTGCGTTACTCCTGTTCATATGATGTGTATGAAAATACCTGCACCTCGAGCTTTTCCCTTTGTCTCTATTAAATTTTTTGAAGATTACGTTTAGTTAGACTCCTATGTTTCTTGTTGTCATTTTGCTTCTGAGTACCTTTTCCATATATTAATCCATGAAATTTATCCACATAGATTCCTATGTTTAGTTAGCATGCATCAAGATTCTAGGATACGTGCTTTTTTGTTGGTCTCTTGTTACAAAAATCACTGAAAATAGTGTTAAAATTCAT